CGGTTCCTGGAAGAGTTGGTGAAGTAGTGAAGGAAAAAGTACACAACATTCCTTAAAAATTCCAGGATATGAACAAATTTGTGAAATTGAAGAACCTTTAGACGGTAAACGTACTGAACTGCCAAGTAAAAGATCACTAACAGTGGAGCAAATAGCGGCTTTTGTACATACGCCCCTAAGTTCCTGTGACATAGAAAGAAGTTTTTCCCGCTATAAGGACATCTTACGAGACAATAGGAGGCGACTAACTAGGGAAAACCTAGAACATTTAGTAATTGTGAACTGCAACAGAAGAGAAGTTGAAAGTTCGGAGAGCTAAATGTGAGTACCATTGGTTTTTTTTTTTAAATTNGAAAAATAAACTATACTCACGAAATGAACGCTATGGTAAATGACACAGCCCAATTCCGTTCGCATCTTCAAGTCTGGCTGCACGTAGCTCTGCTGCTTCCTCGGAACGTATTTGACCCTGTCTTTGTCTCTTTCGTTCGTTCGCTGATGCCCGTTCTTCTCCAGTTTGATTTGCAATTACACGACGCATTGCTTCCGATCCGCGAGTACGACGACCCAAGTTAGATCTTCTGCGAGGCATTATTTGAATGAACTAAAGCAGATCGATTGCACTGATGATGAAAAAAATGCTAGCAACGGGCCACTGTTATTGTGTTTCCATGGAAGTATACGCTAACTGTTCTAGCGTTACTATTGAAACGACTGCTGCGAATGCAACGTTGAGTCAAAATTTCGAAGCGCTCGGACGGGATAGGGAATACATTATCGAAGAGATAATTTTTGATCTGTTTCTTAGGAAATGCTAGCAACGGGCCACTGTTATTGCGTTTCAATGGAAATATACGCTGTTCTAGCGTTACTATTGAAACGACTGCTGGATTTCGAAGCGATCGGTGAAGAACTTTCGGAGATCATCGATAAGAGAAAACGAACATTTACATTTTTATTTAAAACTCTTCGGAGCTGGACTATTATAACATGGTTTCGGACGCAATAGAGGGCACGATCTGTTGTTAGTAACGGCCCACTGTTATTGCGTTTCCATGGATCTTCGATAAGAGAAAACGAACATCTACATTTTTATTTATATAAGATAGATAGATAGATGGATAGAGATAGATAGATAGATAGATGAAAAGACACAGCCCAATTCCAAGGCAATGTCACACGAAACATTAAATCAAAATGAAAATAAATCGAAACTCTTTATATTCGGCGTTGGCTATCCCAAGACTAACTCCTTCCGCGCTTACCTCCAGGCTCTCTTGCGTACCCCTTGGCATCTGCCCCGAGACTGACTGCTTCTTGTCCAAGGTGGGCTATTTATACCTTGGCGGATGCTGTGATTTCACTCGGAATCTCTTGTGATACGTGTGACCTCGTGATACTCGAGACACTCGTGATACTGAACAGTCGCCGGAGCCACACCCTCTTATACATATAGCCAGCGCTCGGACGGGGTAGGGAATACCTTATCGAAGAGTTCGTTTCATCTGTTGCTTAGGAAATGCTAGCAACGGCAAACTGTCATTGCGTTCCCATGGAAGTATACGCTAACTGTTCTAGCGTTACAATTGAAACGACTGCTGGATTCGGAACATGTGGCAGGTTTTTACGTGTTTTTACCTGTCACGGGTGTGACATCTACATAATAGGTAGACAAAAACACGCGCGTGTTCGAATGCAACGTTGTGTCAAAATTTCGAAGCGATCGGTGAAGAAGTTTCGGAGATCTTCGGTAAGACTCAAACGAACATTTACATTTTTATTTATATAAAAAGATAGTTTTTTTTTGCAAATGAATCATTCAGTGATTACATAAAATGAACTTAAATATTGATTTGTTAGTCTTAAAATAATGTAAAATCAATTTTAATATTTGGTATAAATTTTATGTGCATATTTTAGTGCATATTTCCGAAGTTTTTCATGCATAAATGCATACATATTGTGACATGTTGCGCAAAGGAAACCCCCCCCACCAGCAGTGACGCGGCGGGTGAGTCAGCGCTCCCCTCCCCCTCCTCCGCGTGGTAACGTAACGGTGGCGCAACAGGATTGTTACGGTAGTAACAGCGGTTACTACCGCTAGCGTTACTAGCAACACAGCGCCAGGCAACAAGGGTGCCTATTACGTGGCCGTTTTCCGTATTGTCCGATCAAGGTTACATAAGGAGCAGCGAAGGCTATTCACAGTCAGTTGTACTGAGTCAGTCAGTGAGTCCTGGAGCTACCGCCGAGTTAGTTCCGAGTTAGCCAGCAAACAGTCAGTTGTATTCTGGCATTTGGAGTGTACTAATTGTGATACTGCAGATAGCAGTAATCGTGAATCTGTAATTTGAGTGATTGTATGAGCGAATGTGAAATAAAATTCGCTATATAAAATACGGCGTGAAGTTATTTGTCGCGATATACGCCCGATACGCGACAATATTTAAGGGATTATTAGGGCATAAAAATACGGTCCCTATTTATAACCCACCGATATGATACCCCCTTTCACCAGTGAGACTATCAGTAGATGAATGCACACTGTTTATACTGTAATTCTAGGCGTCATGACTAGGGACCGGACTTTTATGCCCCAATAATCCCTTAAATATGTATGCATTTATGCATGAAAAACTTCCGAAATATGCACTAAAATATGCACATAAAATTTATACCAAATATTGAAACTGATTTTACATTATTTTAAGACCAACAAATCAATATTTAAGTTCATTTTATGTAATCACTGAATGATTCACTTGCAATAAAAAGCTATACTTAAATACAAATCATGCAACAAAGCCAACATATTTCATTACAAATTTAAAAAACCAACGGCACTCACATTTTGCTCTCCGAACTTTCAACTTCTATTCTGTTGCAGTTCACAATTACTAAATGTTTTAGGTTTTCCATAGTTAGTGGCCTCCTATTGTCTCGTAAGATGTCCGTATAGCGGGAAAAACTTCTTTCCACCTCACAGGAACTTAGGGGCGCATGTACAAAAGCCGCTATTTGCTCCACTGTTAGTGATTTTTTACTTGGCAGTTCAATACGGTTACCGACTAAAATTTCTTCAATTTCACAAATTTGTTCATATCCTGGATTTTTTTTTTTAAAGAATGCTGTGTACTTTCTCCTTTACTACTTCACCAACTCTTCCAGGAACCGAATTCAATTTGGAAACAGTGGTTTTGAACACACTTATAGTATTGTTATTGCTTGCCTCCAGTGAGGAAATGGCGGATGGAAGGTGAGAGAAGTGAGCAGATATATAGGAAAGATTAGTTTCTAGTTCTGCGTCTTTTAGTACATCTTGGGAAATTTGAATTGATGCTGCACTTTTGGGATCAAATGTATTCACGGTATTCCTGTTTCTGAATGTTCGGTATAATAACTCGCTGCACACAGCCACGTGGCCCAGCGCATTAAAATTGGTTCTGGCGGAAGTGGAACGCTCGGTGCTACTGCTTTAAAAGCTTCTTTTCTGTATGGCGCTTTAACAAATACCTTCTTCACAGAAGACACCAACTTGTCAACAAGCGGAATATTTGCACGATTTGTTTCTGCAACACGGTGCAACCCATGGGCAAGGCAAGGCAAGGCAAATGTGTCATATTTGGAAATATAACTTTAACAGCAGTACCGCCTTTCATCATACGAATATAACTTGAATCATCAGTCACAATGAGCAATACGCCCTCATACTGAATGCAATTCGGCCATTGTAAATTCATGGAATTGATAAAAAAATTCGCAGATGAGGCAAGTTACGAGTAGAGGGATCGGGGAAGTCCCGTACACGACCATGACTGAAAATTTGAACATAAAATTAAAAAATATGATAAACATTTTAAAAAGGAAATATGCAGTATAAATAGAGATCTTCGAAAATATGATGCTTATTCATAAAACAGACAGAATATGCATTTATATGCACCATCAAACCATGTCCAAAATTTAAGGAATGAAGTAATTCATACAAATATCCAAACGAGCATACTTTCTGGTTGCAAGAAAGAAATATGCATTTGCATTAAAATCCGGTCCCTAGTCATCACATTGGATCCACAGTTGCTACCATACATAATTTGATATTAAATATGGTTAGAGTAGTCCGCGGCATAGCTCAGTTGGTTAGTCAATTCACCCATCGTGTTGCACTAGGTTCCATCCAAGATAATGTCTCTCAGTATTTGTGACGGACACAGTGGCACTGGATCGGGTTTTCTCTGTGAGCTCCAGTTTCTCCTACCAGTTCTTATTCCACCATCTGCCCCACACCTGCTCTATATTTCAGAGAATTTCTGCTAGCTTTTGTGAATTAATATCCGATTTTACGTCTATTCAGCAGCCAGTACGTGTAGTTATTTTTGAATGCACTGATCTAAGCAGGCAATGAAATAACGCTGTAGGTTTTACGAGGTTGTCATGCTGTGAAATTACCTGGGCTTGCCCTGCTCTCCTAAAGAGAACAAATTGGAATTACTGTAACAAGTGAGATATTTGGAGTGTAAATGTGGATCTGTGTAGCATTCTCATGTAGTTTTTTTATTTTTCAGCAATCATTGAGATTTATATTCTCGTAAAGGAGAAGAACCATGTAGAAGTAAGTTTCATCAAAGCAATAATATATGCATAGCTTCTAGTCAGTCTCTAAGTAGTTCACTACTAAGCAATAATAATTTTGTCTAAATGATGTATTGAAATGTTTTCTAGGAGAGAGAGAGATTCATTCAAATTTCTTCGAAGGGATTTGGAAAATAATAAATTGCCATATATTTAAAAAGGCATCTTTCAGAAACTCAGTCACCTGATCAGTAGATGAGTTCCAAATACAATTAATTCTTATACATCCCTTGTACTGGTTTGTGTTGCAGGCGGGAAATGTAATGATCGCAGTTGCATTTGCAATACTATACTTGATGTTCTACCATTGGGTAAGTTCCTTGACAACTGATTCTTTACTTATTAAGCAACACTGTGTCTAGGCAATTTGCCACATTAAAGAAAGGAATGTGGTTCAGTTCCTGGCAAGGTCAGGGATTTTTCCATTATTCACACCGCGAAGACCGGGCATGAGGGCCTGTGCGGTCCGTATTAGTGGGTCCTTGAATTGGTGTGAGGAGGGCTCCTGGGCAGGCTCATCATTTCATTTGCTTCTTTGCCTTTCCTTATCGCATCTGTAAGCAACTCAGACTATATAGCTCCACATGGTATCACGGTTAGTGAATTAGTGGCTCCTCGAACTGGTGTGAGGAGGCCTCCTGGGCAGGCTCATCATTTCATTTGCTTCTTTGCAGTTCCTTATCCCAGCTGTAAGCAACTCAGACTATATAGCGCCACATGGTACCACGATTAGTGAATCGTGAATTTGTCAACACGGGAAAGGAAGCTGCTGTTGACTGATTTTGTCAGTTCCGTCATTTGCTTAGACTGTGGCAGGAAAGCTACGAATTTCTCGGTCAGGATAGTCAATGTCCCGGTCAAGAATCGAACTGGGAACCTCCCAGTACAAGTCGGAACTACTGTAGCTTCGTAACCGTAGAGACTTGAGTTCGAGACTCGTATTTTCGGAAGTTATGGGTTCAAATCCCAGTTGCGACGCCAGCACTCTGACTCATATTCTTCGGACCCTCAATGCATATGCCGGAATATTACCTCAGATACTGTCGTCTCCTTCCGAATCCTCTCCAATTCGTCATTCACATATTTCCCTAACTTTGGGCAGTATGCAGTGTGCGATAATGCAAGTGTCGTGGAGTCACCTACGAACGCCACGGCTGACGACACGACGTTTGCAAAACATTTCGGGCAGATCCCCATACAGGGGTAGGTAGTGGACGTCTGGAAAATTGAGTGCACACATCGTACAAGTCAGCTGTGCACGCACGATCTGAATTTAAGTTAAGGAGCAAAAGGGAGGAAATGTATATTAAGAACAAATACTGGGAAGAACTGATCGCCTAATTTCTTTTGATAGAAAACATTTGCGTCCATAAACTCTTGCATTGTTAGGTGCATATTCCTCGTCGCGGAAACGTGTTTATCAATCCGTTGCTTAGCAACGATGAGGATGGATACATATAAACACATACTGAAAGCAGGCTCACAACACAGGAGCTCGGAGGCGGTGTACTCTCTGCTGTCGGACCACAAGTTATGTAGAGAGGACAAAAACTGACGACAGTGCCCTGCAGTATTCCGGCGTTCAGGCGAAGTGTCACATGCCTGCATATGTTTGTGTTATTAACTTCTCTCATAAGCATTCTTTTAATTTTTTAAAAGATAGAGAGAAATAGGCTACGAAAGCTTCACGACTATTGAGCTGAGCTTGAACAACTGTACCGTGAGACTATTTCGTTTTCAGTGAAAGTTTGTCCCACAGTCACTAATGTCCAGACTGTTTCTGTTTGTGCTGCTTCCAAAACGATGACTTAGACCCCTAAATCTGCGTGCTGCGTCGGTTAACTGTGTACCTTTTTTTTTTAGAGCAGAGAATTTACTGTTTGAGAGAGTCGCACCGGTTGCAGGAATGGTGAAAAACAAGTACGAGTAACTTTGTGACTTCTGGTGAATGTACTCAGATTTGAAAGGGTGAAGTATCTGAGCAGACCCCAAACAACACCGACCCACCCACCCTACCTAAATACCAATTTATGCCTCTGGAGTTCTTTTTTAGGTCTTGGCCGCTTTCCAGGTTCTTGACCTTTTTACACAGTCGGTAGGATCCCTTGCACGGAGATCAGCCGGTCGCAAGTCCTGTACCTATATACAGAATACAAACATCCATGCCTCGAGTGGGATTCGAAACCACGATCCCAGCGTTTGAGCGAGCCAAGACAGTTCCTCATGCCTTACACCTTGCGGCCACTGTGATCGGCGACCCCCCAAAAAGAAGAAGAAGAAGAAGAAGAAGAAGAAAGGAGAAGTAAAGCTATCCCTGTAACAGGCCATGAAGGTCCATATGACATAAAAATTCTTCCGACCAATAAATAACGGAGAATTCGAGTTTTCAGAAGAATAAAATTAAAACACCGACCCTATAATTTCAACGACAAATGAGGGAAAGCCAGAAACGCTTCATAATGGTGTTTCAAATTTCAGGATATTAGAACTGAAGTGAAGTTTAGTTAGAGAGTTTTGGAGAATCACCTGATCAACTGTCCCTTCATAGGGTGGACTAATTCAGATCACAGTCGGCGATAATAGGTTTTTCGATTGTTATTGATCTTTGTCATTCCCTGTCTCTTAGCCGAAAATTCTGAGCGAAAGCATCTCCTTGTTTTAGACCATTTTGGATAGGAAAATGTATGAGACAAATATTTACCTATATGGACTTTACTTTGTTTCATTTAAATCCTTCTCTTCTCAGACACTCGAAATATTGAATAGCGATATGATAAGCTCGCTCGCAAACGGGAGGCAATATTTGGCAATTTTGACTTTACAGAAGTCACGGTTGTTTAATCACGAATTCGACAGAATGCCGGAGGGACTGATAGAAACCGCAAATACTTTAGTCAGTATAGTTGTCTTCCCTAGGCAAATACCGGGATATTCCCTCAATTAGGAAGTGATTACTTCCTTTGATGTATATTCCAACTATATGAATTCTTTATGGTAATGGAGAGTATATATATATATATATATAATTACAGTTATCTTGTAAATGTTGCAGTAACTTGAGAATATCAACAGACATTTATTTCTGTTCACAGAATAATAAGGGCCGTAATAATAATGGCCGTAATAACGAAGCAGCACAACCTGCGAACGGTATGTACAAATCCAGAGTCATCACATTGCAGACTTTTATCAAAGTTGTCCAACTTAAATGCACTAAATCTATAGAC